GCATGTGGCGTACAATCTCACAAAAAGAGAATAGCGGAAGATCCAGAGAATAGGATACTATTGTTCAGTTTTCTTAACTGACTATCGCAATTTGCTTCATATAAAAGGTAACATTTATTTTCTGAGTGTGATTTCTTTATTCATTGCATTTTCTTAAAAGTTTTGGTTGGACATAATAATCAACATGGTACTGGAACAAGAACAGACACATAGATGAGATGATTCGAATAGAAAACCCAGATATAAACCCACAGGTATATGGGCAGCTAATCTTTGACAAAGGAGCTAAGAAGATACAATGGAACAAAGAAAGTTTGTTCAACAAATGATGCTGGGAAAACTGGGTCTCTACATGCAAAAAAAAAAAAAAAATGAAACTAGATCGCTACCTTGCACCATACACAAAAATCAACTCGAAGTGGATTAAAGACCTAGACATGAGGACGGAAACCATAAATATACCTGGAAGCAAATATGAGTGAAACACTACACTACATGACATACACCTCAGTAACATCTTTGAAGATACAGCACCCAACGCAATGATAGTGAAAGAAAGGATAAATAGATGAGACTACATCAAGTCAAAGAGCTTTTGTACAGCAAAAGAGACATTACAAAAACCAGACATTCCACTGACTGGGAAAAAATTTTCTCACACAATACTAGTGGTAAAGGGTTGATCACAAAGATATACAAAGAATGATGAAACTCAACAAAAATAAACAACCCCATCAAAAAATGGGCAGAAGAGCTAAAAAGACATTTCTCCAAAAAGGAAATGCAGATGATCAACAAGCATATCAAAAGATGTTTAACATCACTTGTAATAAGGGAGATGCAAATTAAAACCACAATGAGATACCACCTTACATCAGTGAGAATGGCACATCTTAAAACAACTAGCAAACAATGTTGGCGAGGATGTGGACAAAAAGGAACTCTCCTGCACTGCTGATAAGAATGCAAACTTGTATAACCACTATAGAAAACTGTTTGGAGCCTTATCAAACTGCTAAAAATGGAGCTTCCACATGACCCAGCAATCCCACTCCTAGGTATCTACCCAAGAGACACAAAAACACTGATTCAAAAAGACAACTGCACCCCCATATTTATTGCTGCTTTATTTTCAATCAGAAGAACATGGAATCAACCTAAATGCCCAAAAGTTGATGACTGGATTAAAAAGAGGTGGACATATACATATGGAATATCACTCGGCAATCAAAAAGATAAACTCATGCCTTTTACACAACATGGATGGAGCTGGAGGGATCATGCTTAGTGAAATAAGCCAGAAAGCAGAGGAAAAATACTGGATGGTTTCACTCACAGCAGGAGCAGAAAGGACCAGGGGGAAATAATAATAATGATGAACAACTATGTACCAGAGACATTTTACAGGAGTGGAGAGGGGAATGGGGTTAAACATGGGGAGTGCACAGGACTATGGTGATGGCACATGGGTGAATTGGTGATGGGAAGTCCACAGGAATTACAACTGAGATGGAAAAAAGGACAAAATGGTGTAAAAATAAACTATTATAATAAAGTAAAAAAAAAGTTTGGCTGGGATATAGGACAGATTTCTTAAATGAAAAAAGCAATGGCTTAGTTCTTGTGTTGGGATACTTTGTGAGTTGATTCTTGGCTTTTCAATTGATTTCCTTGAAATTATAAATGTTAAAAAGAAAACAAAATTATATTATTATGTTATTGATTGCTATTAGTTATTCTCTTATCTTGTTATTAATTCCATTTTGTTTTTCTCCTCCATGTCCATTTGTCCTCAAAGGAATTTCCAGGACAAACTTGAGTTAAAAATAGCATTCCCTTCTTCTTTGTGACTTTGCAGGCAGACTCTAACTTTCCTCTTAAATAATAAATTGGTGGTTAGTTAAATAGGTAATTTTGTTATGTTAACAAACTGCCTTTCTATTCTTTTGAGTCTGAAAATTAAAAAACAAGACTGTAAATTCTGTTAATGATTCATCAATATATCATATATTTTAATACTGAATGCAGAGTTCCATTCTTGGCATTAAATTCAGTCAAAAAAAGTCAAAAACAAGGAAGTTGAAGAGTCTGGGATGAGATTGATATGACAATTAAACATTAATTACATTTAGATCTAAATATCTTAGCATCAGGGATACAACAAGAAACTCACTTTTGTAAGTTGTGACACTAATAAAAATAAATCATAGATATGAGTCCCCTGAGTGAATAGTGTTCTCCTCCATCTTTCAGACCCATGGCTCTGCTGGGTATTAGGTCAGATGTCTACCCTATATCTGATAGGACAATTATTGAAATGAAAACCCTTATGTTGAAATAAGCCTGATCTGAGGAATTAACCAAAATGCAATTGTACCTTTATCTCCTACCCCACACTAGCTACAAATGATTAAAGATACTTAAAATTAGAGAGTAATTGCACAAGTGATACACTGAAGTGCTTGAGTGCAAACTGCTGGCCTGAGCCCAGTCCTCCACAAATAACATAGTGTGTTCTCCCAAAACAAGGTCATTCTCCTACAGAACTACAAAGCAAACATCATTGTCATGGAATTAATATCACCATTAATTTCCAAGCCCACTTACATTCACAGTCATACCAATAAGGTCCATTTGGGCAAAGGATTTAGTCTAAATATGCATTTAGACATTCATGTTCCATTTAGTTGTTATGTCATTTTAGTTTTCTTAACTGTGGGATTGTTTCTCAGCCTTTCCTTGATTTCCAAGATGTGATTTCAAAGTACAGGCTATGTATTTTTTATAGGCTGTCCCTCAACTGGGGTTTCTCCAATATTTCTACATGATTAGAGAATAGACCATAGTGGGGCCTCTGCATACTTCTAGGGCTTCTCCTACGACTTCCCAGCAGTCATGTGATAGTGAAGTGGACCATTCTAGAGGATGTTAATTCCTTTCACCTGATGGTAGTCTGTCAGATTTGCCCTTTGCAAAGTTATCCCTATTCACATTGAAAATGCACTATGAAACACACTATTTCTCAACTACAGAATAGTCTATGGTAAGGTACTTTGAGAATGTGGATGTACTCCAATTCACATGAGACTTCCGATTAATTCAATTATTTAATTCAGGGTCGACTGTTGGCTTCTTTTCTAGCACAACCTATCGTTCCAGCTTGTCTTGTACATGCCTTAGCCAAGCACAAGTGTCAACTATCTCTTGAATAAGAATTGTTTCCTTAAATTCCAAGAATCATATTTGAAGATAAGATCTCAGCCCTGTATGTATTAAGGTGTTGGGGTCTCTCTAGTCTGAGTCCCTTCAGAAGGACAAAGTTGGGGGTTACATATCGATACATCCATTTTCTATTTATACACCTGTCCCTCTATCTACTTATTCTAGCACCAATGAATTTACAGGAGTAGCCACTTACCCACCCGACGCCATGTGATTTATTCCATTTTTTATCAATATGTATAACTGCCCTTTTTCTAGTGGTGAGGTTTTTTGGCTAAAGATTTTGACTTTAATATTAACTACTTAACAGAAACAAAGTTTCCCTTAACATAGTGAGTAAAATTCAATTTGGTTTGAAAGTATCATCAGATATCACATTTCTTGCTGTCTCGTCCTCTGAGAGTTTTATGCCCATGAAACTCGGTGGGCCCACCTAGCACTAACTCATCAGTTAATTTGTGTAAAAAGCAAGTAAGCTCTTCTTTTAAGCAGTGGAAGAGCTTAGGGGTCAGTGTTTCTGGGTTGTGTTTCGTGTCTCTTTTGGCCTTAATTAAACTGGCTATTCAATAACTTCCGTGACTTTGCCCTCACGCTTTCCCTGATAACATTCAAACAAAGTTGCTCAGGAGATTGAGGGAAAGGGCAGAAATTTCATTTCCCTTTTGAACCAGCTCAGCAACAAAAAAAATAAATAAAAGTGAAAGTATGATTTCCTCCCTACATAACATGTTTTGTTATCAGGTAGCAAGGATCCATTTCCAGTTAGGTCATTGAAATATTCATTTCAACACGTAGTCCTGTGAATCAACTAACATTTGAGTATGAGATTCCTGCCATTTTGCCTGCTAGGACAGAGTGGCAGGCAGAACACACTCTGCAGGGAAAAAGGTATGACTAATTTCTTACTTTGTGCTTTATTGAAGAGACATTGGTTTAAAGCATATAGATTTCAGGAGTACAAAATTATAAATCAACAACTGCATATACAACATTATGCTCATCACTGAAACTATATGTTCATCTTTCTCCATATAATTGGCCCCTTTAACTAGATAGAACATCCCCAATTCTTCCTTCCCTTCCAGTAGCCACTAATTTATAATGTAAAGGAATATTTTTGTTTTATTCAGTTCACTCCTGTTTATCACAGGAGAGTAAAATTATATGGTGTTTGTCTATCTATTAATAATTTCTACCTACTACAATAAGTATAATAATGTTATTCACTCCACCCATGCTGTTGTAAATAGCAGGGTTTATCTTTTGTATAGCTTCATATTATCCATTTGTCTATATATAACACACCTTTAGTACACCATAAAACACTATCATCCATGAGAAATGTCAAGGTTCTTAGAAGCACTAGTAAGAAGCTCAAGGGACAAAGACCAAATATTTTAACAAAAGACATTTCTCCCATGTCTCAGGAAATTACATGATTTTTTTTTTTAGGAGCTCTGTACCAGGAACTGGGGACAGAAAAATAAACAGGTGTTTCTGACTTTCACAGTAACACATAAAAATTCAGACACTTATCCTTTCAACTATTGATCGGTAAAAAGACTGACCTTTTGCCTGTTCCTCTCTGAAAAGTCTTGGAGCAAACCCACCACATTACCCAGCCTAGGACTCTTAGAAGATACTGTAAATAAATCAATTGAAACTGAATGGTAATCAGCTCATCAAGCCTGAAAAGAAAATGTCCCTGAAACCATGAAAAGTGCAACTAAGTCATAGGCTGTTAGGTATCACTGGGTTTCCAGCGAAGTCGTTGATGCCTATTCCTTGGCCCAGTTCTGGATCTCTGCTTTGCCGAAGATGAGGTAGAACACCAGGCCTGCTATGTTTATAGCAGCAGAAACCAAGAAGACATTTCTCCAACCAAATTCTGAATCCTGGAGGAAGGGAAGTAAAGGTTATAGTGGTCTCCTAGTTATTATCCCAACTGGTTCATTCAAAGGCCCTGGTGACTTAAATTGCTGCTCCCATCCCAACTCTGCTCCAAATTCTATAGGCTTAGAGCTTGTTCCTGAAATATGCAGATACGTTTGCTATACACTTACCTTTCCCCCTGATGGAATGTTCCTCCCCTGCATGGTCATTTGTTTCAGTTGTTATTTGCTTCTTTGCTTAAATATTTATTGTTTCAACAAATATTTCCTTGACCACCCTATCTAAACTCGAATTATATCCCTCTTCCTTGCGCTCTTACCTTCCCTTATTTACTCTTTTCTTCACATTTACTACCCACCACTCAATAATTTTCTGTTGGTTACTTCCCTATAATATAGGCTCTGTGAAGGAGGAGACATTTCTTTGTTTTATTCACTTAAGCAATGCATGGAATCTGTTCATACTCAGTACATATTAGTTGAATGATGAAAAGGATGAACAAATGAATGAATGAATAACAGAGGAGATAAGCTCAGTTTGAGAGTTTCCATTTTAAACCACCACTTCCTGACAGTGTATCAGACAGGGTGGGAAGGGAACTGAGATTCCCAAAAGGAAAAAAGGACTTGATGTCACAAAACATGCACTTTATTCTTTATTCATATTCCTGACTTGTTGGTGGATAGCCATATAGAATTTAAAGAATGATACCCTTGTGAATGTCATGTATCTTTCATCATGTAAAGGCTGCTTGACAAGGTTCTTAGGGCATATTCAAATCTTCTGCTGACTTTTATTCTAAAATAAATGCATCTCTGAGACGGAAGACTGTACAGCTGCAGAAACATCAAGCAAACACTGCTGGATAGAGAAGTGTTTCTGCACTAACCACTGATGGACATACCAGGGTAAGGTGGAGGTTGTTCTGTAACTCTGTCATTCAGCATCTGACAGATTTATTTTGCAGATACTGGTTAGGGTACCACATAGGGTGACTCACTCTTTCAAGACTGTCTAGAACAATCAAATTTTCAACAATGAAAGTATCACATCCTGGAAGCCAGACATCCCACACAAACCAAAAAGGTTTGTCACTTTACAAAATGACAAAACTAAAATATATTTTGGTAGAAAACCTAATGAGTAACACGAGAATCTCATCTTCTATGAACTGACACAACAGACTTATAAAAGTAAGCATTCCACTTCTCTCCACACCCAAACCTGTGGTCATTTCTCTGCATGAACTGAGCCTAATGTGAATGTGAGAGCATGTGGATGTCTCAAGACTTTCGAAAATCATAGTGAGCCACACTGAGGAGCAAATGAAAATACTCGCCATGTGACTTCCATTGAGTGACTTTTGTTGGATTCTCTTATAAATATTTTCACCAAGACAAATGACCTCACCTTATTTAGCAAATATCCAGAAACGGTGGGAGAGATGGCTCCTGATATGTAAGAAAAGACATGTGATAGTCCCTGGAGAAAGGCACAGTACCTAAGAGAGAAGAAGAAGAAGGTGAAAAGGAAGGAAAAAGACTTCCATGGCAAGCAAAAAGGTAATCTCAGCTCCTTGTTACAATGCTGTGCTCATCTCTGCGGATACCTGCAGCTGGGCTCACCCTCAGTCATACCTAAATGAAATGTCCTGACCTGTGATTAATAGGATCTTGTGCTAGGTCTCATTTCCAAAGAATAACCTGTATTAACTTGTTGACATTGTTTAAACAAAGTTTACAAATTGATGCTTTGCACCTGGTTTACGTGTTCTTTTCAATTCTGGGGGGGGGGGGTAAAAGCTCTCCCTTCATCTGTATAACTGATGTCACTTTAATGAGACTTCGATGCCCTGCAAAAATGGTCTCTTCCATGTATCTTGTTTCATTATCTGAAAATGATATTTTGTGCATTTTGAACAAACATGACATTTGAACTATATTTAAAAGATTGATTCCTTGCTAATATTGATGTATGTCAGAGGTGCATGTTTCTCTTGGGGTCCCTTATCCTGTGTTAACACCTCATGAGCAAGCCCCGTTCAATTTCACAAATCCTTTCATTGAGCACTATGTGAGGGTTATGCTCAATAGCAAGAGATCACTGGGGGTCTCCTCTCATTGAGCTGTGAGTGTGGTCACTGTCTACTCCTGTTCTCACCTACAAAACTAAGTTCACTCACATTTGCTCCATGTGCCAGCATATTTTAAGGCTCCTGGACCTGACCTGAGTTTCTAGGAAGACAAACCAAGAGTCCCTACCGAGGAGCAATATCCACGATGCTGATAAGGACTCCTACTTCACAGAGACTGCCGAAGACACAACTCAGCACCAAGAAGATAATGGTGGTGCTCTGGCTGGATGTGACCCAAGGCAGGCACAAGAGGAGTCCAGTTGGGACAAGAATCCCTGGGAGGAGACAAACCCAGTGAACAGGAGGCTCCCTGAGCTTCCCATACACACCCTCTGACCATCTCGGTGCTTACCTAAGGTGGTGAAGAGCTTCCTGATATTGATGAGTGTAAGGATTTTTCTGGAGAGGAGGAAACCAGCCAGTTGACCTCCAAGGATAAGGGAAGGAAAGGAAAAAACAAATGGCAGGGCTGACAGGATCCCACTCTGAGGAAAGAGATGAGTGAATAGCATGTCATCCCCACAGTAACACAGTCTGAGCTGTGGGGGGATTGTCTGTATCTGTGATGAGTAATTATATGCTCATTCCTCTAATATAAATTCCATGTTACTGGAGTGGGGCAATGAGGATGCAAATATTTTAATATGGGGGGGGAAAGGGACTCATTCTCTCTTCCTATATAAATATCACCTGAAATAGATATTAAATAGAACAAAACCCAGTAGAAAAGTAGGCTAAGGTTATGAAGAGAAAATATGCATAAATAAAAGGAAAAATAAGGGTCCCTAAGCATACTAAAAGGAACCCAACATCATCATAATAAAACTATTATGTGATACCATTCTGCATGAATCAAGTTGAAAAATATCCCAAAGTTAATTTTACAGGAACAGTATGGGGTTGAGGAATTATATTTGCAAGTATTATTAATGCATTATGGAGGGTAATTTGACAATAAATATAAAAATACATACAGCCTTTATCCTTGAATCATACATACAGAGATTTACAGAAAGAGTCACACCATCTAAGAAAATAAACAAGGTTTTCACCGCAGCACTGTTCAGTGAGTAGATACCGTCCATATGTCATTTATGTCCTGATAGGAAAAGGACCCTCAACATAGTGCGGGGATACCAGCCCTTTCAATATGTAAAGATCTGTCTGAAGCTCTCATGCGGAGATATAGATGAGCGATCTGTGGGAAGACTAACAGTGGCAGCCTTTATCTTCATGTGCCTTTTGCTCTTTTCCTTCCAAACTTGACGGGCCTCTTCTGTTTCCTTCTAACTGGTCCCTACCAGGAGGTGACTTAAGACTTGTGACACCTTTCAGCCTAAGTGACTCCACATTGGGCCAACCCTATTTGGCTGGGCATTTATGAGAGGATAAATAACTTCGGGTGTTTCAGTGTTTCTCCTTTCATGTGCCCCCCAAGCTCCTGGCATTTTAACTATATTCTTTTCTCCTCTCTCTATTGCATCCTAATTGTATTAGAGTTGTTTTCCACTGAAGGTTTTATGCACTAGAGTATGTTTTTTCTTTATGTAGTGGATGGCAGAACTATATTTTGCAGGTAGGTTTGAGGGTCCTAGGGTGTCCTTCAGTACACTCTATAACACAATCGTCTTGTGAATTAGTGCTTTAAGTAAAATCTGACACACTCTTGTCCAGTTTTAAAAATCCAGCTAGCAAGAATGGAAAGATTCTTGGCAGTCAATAAGATCATCTACTGGTTTGGTGAAAAATCAGAATACTGCACACACACCTATACTTTTCTCCATAAATTGAATAAAGTTTCTAACAAGTGTTTCCATAAATTGTTGGTATAAGTCTTAATGCTAGTAATTGTCAGCATGCATTATTCATGCTTCTCAGTTATAGCCTTCTTAAAGACAGAATTTTCCTTGTCAATGCTTTGTTGTATAAACTGCAAATATTGAATGGATTGAACATAACATTTTTGGCTTGGTTCCTTAAATATAATGACAATCTATGAATGTCAGGCCAACCGCTCTGCCCAGTGGGTCAGGGGTTACATTCTCAATGCATATAAATCTTCTGAATCAGAATTCAAGTGAACCACATTAAATATATCCTACATGGAGGATTGAGTCTAATCCCCTGATTTTATGCCGACAGGAGAAATAGAAGTTTATATAAAAAAGCATTTAAACAGAGGAACAGGAAGAACTTTCTCTATACTTACATCTCTGAGATTAGCTCGAAGTACAGTGTTGATGTATGTTGGTATATATGACATGATGATATAAAAACGCCAGAATATACAAAATGTAGTGACCAAAATGGCCCACAATGGCAGGGATTTGACCATGGCTTTCAGGGGAACAGACCAGCCAGGAGAACCACCCTAGAAGAAAGCACATAACAGTGTCCCCTGCATCAGAGACAGAAGCTTTGCTCTACTGTACATCTCACCTCCAGCACACGCAGACAGACATGGGAGGTGACGGAGGAGATGCTCAGTGCACCTGTTCAACCAGTGAAGCCACGATGTATTCCTTCTCAGCAGGGCTGATAAACGGATGATTCACAGGGTCATCGTAGACAAGAGGAAACCAGAGCAAAGTACAGGCACAGCCTATTCCACCTGGGAGAAGAGGGTGCAGTTAGCACTGGACTACTCTTCCAGTCTGACTCTAGCTGGGATGGCTCCTGTGAGTGGCAGATGGCTGACCTTAATCTTCCACATTCTACCCCACCCCCACATCTACCTTCTAGCACCAGGATGCTTTCTAACCAGCTGACGTTGACCTTGGTCATTTAACTTGTTTCTGTCAACAGCCTGGGGCATTTCAGAGCCTATGAGTTATGAAACATTTCATTTTTTCACTTTTCTGGAAGAACATGATGCAGCTTGCCCATTGTCCCAGGCAGATACAAGGTAGAGAACAGAGCTAGCCAGAGATAGGAGAATAAATGATTGCTGTTTTAGACCACAGAGCTGGGGGAAGTTTTGAAATGCACCATTAGTAAGGCAAACACTCTGCATGAAACTTCATAAGTATGAGCAACAGAAATTATTCAAGCAATGGGAGGGGCTGCTGTGTCACAGCATATTTAATGTACGGACTTACTAAACATTTGTGGAATCTCTTGACAACCTCTTGATTTGAAATGACTTGCTGGGAAATTTGACTAAGAGTTCTCCAAATCAAACAAAGTGCCTGGGTGTAGTGGCTGTTCTGCATTTGTGAAGAAAGGTATCAACCACAACCTCGCAAGTGGATAGGGTTCTTAAACTTTTCAAAAAGGAATTTAAGTGCATCATGTTTCCAGTCAATACTAATGATGTGGACTGGCCCAGTATGGAAGCGCCTTATCTATTAGAGAAAATCTCTTTGTTGAGGGCTGCACCTATTCCTGCAGCTAAGTCTTCAGTGCTAGACGTAGTTATGGAAGGGCTTAAAGAACTCAGACATCTTGGATTTTGTATATATATTTTTTCCCACAGTCCCCCATTCAGGACATCAGAGTAGTTTTTATTGTCACATCTCTTTGAACTCCTTTTGTCTATGACAGTCTCTCAGATTTTGCTTTGATGAGTTTGACAACGCTCAAGAATACCAATGAGGGATTTTGCAGAATGCTCCTTAATTGACATTTTCTGATGTTTTTCTTTAGACTGAAGGCATGTATTTTTGAGATAGGCTATAAGGTTAAATGACACTCTCATTGTATCATATCAAGGGTACATGTTATCAATATGACTTATTGCTGCTGATATAAACCTTGAGCACCTGGCTTGTAATAGAATTTGCCAGATGTCACTACTGAGAAACTGCTCCTTTCTTCTCTCTGTACACGCTGTGTCCTGGAAGAAGATGCATGCATAGTTCACACTCAAGGAATAAAGAGCTAGACTCTACTTTCCTAAAGTGGGCATCTCCATAAATTCTGAATCTCTTCCTCACAGATTACACAAGTATTTCCTTTTTTTTTGTATTTCCTTTCTCTTTTAAATTAATTTATTTTTAAAAAATTTATTTATTTATTAGTTTATTTATTTATGTGTACAAGATTTGGGGTCTGTACCCCAGAGGTGCGGGGAGTGAAAGGATTCCCCAGAGACAGAGTGGGGAACAGAACAGGCATATCTACTGAAAACCCTGCTGAGGGGAGCAGCAGGTGAGAGAGGAGAGGTCTGCTGCACCCTGTGGGTCACCTCCCTGGCTGGGGATGGAACTTATGCTGCAGTGGCTGTGGAGAGCTTCAGAGTGCTGTGTTTTAACCCACTGGACCACCAGTGAGGGCCCAGCATGCTTAAGTATTTTCTGTTCTTTAAAAGCACAAATACAACAAGCAGGAGGAATCCTGCAAGTAATTGAATGTGAGGGCGTTGTCAAGCAAGCAGGCTATGCTCACTAGTGCTTCTAGCATTTCTTCACAGATGCAGAACAGCCACCACACACCAGGCATTTTGTTTGGTCTTGAGAACTCTTAGACAAATTTCCCAAAAAGTTCACTGCAAATCAAGAGGAGAGGGGTAGGCAGAAAAATGAGTACTGTTGCATATGGGGATGGCGGATGTTAACATAGATTCTGCAAATATTTAGTGAATTCATACATTAAATATACTGGTGCTGCTTCTCAAAAACTATGTGCCTGAATAATTTCTGTTACTCATACTTAGAAAGTTTCGTGCAGTATGCTTGCAGATTCATCTGCTATGATGATGGCACTTTTTTTTTCTAGAAAACATTGATATGAGAAAAACCCAAGAGTTAAGAATACCATCCTCTGATGAAAACACAATGGAGCTCACAGGTCCCACTTGAAACAGGTTGTTTGCCAGTAAGATTTCAGAGAACATTGCAAAAAACATTAGCCAAAGCACAACCACTAACCCAAACTGTGACTGGGTATGGAAAACACAGTAAAGAAGTAGGATGGTGACTGGATAATCCAGGTGACTGAGAACGCTGTCAGCAGTGTGTCTCTGCACACGGAGAGCACCTGAGCATCAGGTGTCATCCCTGCCCTAACCTGCAGCCCCACCTGACTACTGTCTCCTCCAATGCATGTTTTCCTATGACTAGGACATATTTCCACACTATTCTAGTTGCTTTAATAATAGAAGACATTCAAATGACTTTTATTCAAATGAAATGAATGTATCAAATTAATAAGTGTAACAAAAAATACAATCCCTCACATAAGTTTTTCAACATCTTACAGATGCCAGAGGAATGTTATGATGTCTTTAAGGTCATTCATTTATTCTAGCTACACACTCACACTTGTGAAAGTCTGTCATAAAAGGAAATTCTGAGATCAAAGAGCAAAAACCTCACCAAAGATATAGAAGATGGAAGGCCATCCAATGGTCTGGCTGAGGAGACCTCCAACAGTGAGGATGATGAAGCTTCCCAGGACTCCTCCTAGACAGAGAAGTGAAGTTATTCTGGTGTGAGGGTCAGACTTGGACACTGTGTGCTTCCTACAGACATACTCACCCAAACAATGCTGAGTGGTGCAAGTATTTCACAGTGAGGTATGAGCTAGCAGACCACCTAGCTTCAAATCCTGCTCCTTCACTCAGAAACTGTGTGTGGCTCAGAAGGTGACAATTAGGATCCCAATTACCTGATGCAGCAATGGTGATCAGTTGACTCCTTTCCAGTGGGGGAGACCACTTGACCCACATTGAAAACTGACCTGTAAATACCATAACCTAAACAAGAAAAAATGTTCTCTTATTAGTTATATGAGTCTCTTGGAAACTGTATCCCACTCATACTTACAAAACACCTTGGTACCTGGGCTATGCCTTGGAAAATCCGAAGAACCAAGAACAAGGTTACCCCAGCATCAGCTGCCAGCGGAGTGAAGAGGGTCAGGACTGAGGAAATGAACAGGCCAGCACCAACCACGTACTTGGCCCCAAACACCCCGGCCACATAGCCAGTGGGGATTGGAGCCAAGAGAGAGCCATAGCTGAGGGCACCAAGGAGGATTCCCTGGATCTCAGGATTCCAGTCATAGACAGGTGCCTAGATAAAGAATGGGATATCTGGTTAAGCTTTACTGTGAGGGCTTGAGGGGAAAAATAACAATAGCTGGCAGTTCTCTTTCCTTTCATCTGTCTTCAATTCCTCTGACCTATCAATTTCATCAAGAAAACACACATAAACATAAAAATCACAAGTATGCATGTATATGTATATATTTTATGTTACCTCCTCAATTACACAATTAACAGGCCAATAAATATAAGACAGCCTAAAAAGGCATAACTGTAAGTAAGCAGCAGAGATAGTTAATAAAAATATTTGAAAGCGGAAGTGATCATAAATCGATGATACCTATTTTGGTTGCTTTTCATCACTGTAAGGAAGAATTTATATCCACTAAAAGATGAAATCGATTTCCTTCATTCTACTTTCTTTCTTGGTAATACTTACATACACTACATAGAGGGATAATTTCTTTAGATACTTATTCTATTCTTGGGTAATGTAATTCTTGAAACATAGCAGGTGCTCAATAAATAATCTTTATGTCAAACCATTTGAGTGAAACAAACAGTCAGGAGTCTCATTAACCCACAATCACCTTAAATTCCTTTAGTGTTCCATTCCAGTTGTCCTGGGCGTCAGTGGGATGACTTCCTGTGGAGGCATTGGCTTGGCTGGGTAGGGCTGTGTGGTTCACCATAGCTGGCATAGCAATGCTCAAGTTCATTGTTTGGGTGGAAGTTGAAAAGTTACAGAGGAGCAAGATGAAGGCCAGCCCATATCGGACTAAGTGAAAGCCTGAGATGAGGAAGCACAGAAACATTCATTACTCCCAGTCTCCTGCAGTCTAGAAAAGGCAGAAGACTGCATTTTGTCTGTGAATCAGGGAAACAGAGAATCTGACATTGTTCTAGAGTGCCTGGTGACACTTGTTCCCTGGGAGGCGAGTGGGCCAATAGTGCCTCTTGGATTATATTTGAGGTAGAGAAAAATGTGTGGAATTGACGAGAATGAGCTTTAGGGATTTCCAAAGCGGGGCCCTGAAATAATGACAGAATGAATGGAATGGATGGATTTAGAAAACTGGGTGGAAACAGTGATTAGTTGGATAAAGACAAGTGGTTGGAAATGACTCTCTCGTGTCCCGCATGAGCAGTTGGGAGGGCAGGTGGTACCATATATGGCTGGGAAACATGGCATGATTTGGGGCTGAGAGGTGAGGCCTGAAAGGTAGCCCAGGTTAGATTACAGATGTACATCAACTTCATCGTTGCATTTTTAGCTAGTCTTGTCCAAAACGCTCCAGTGTTCCATGAGAGCCCTGTTCTCATCCCCAGGGCTCAGTACAGACACACAGTGGGGCAGGAGCTGGGAGGGTTGGTTGAGCAGCCCTGTCCTCATGGCATGTGGGTGACCCACATTCTGGCTTCTGCCAGGGAGCCAATGCAGAAGGGCCAATGCTGCTTGCTCCCTGTCATGCAGGGACCCTCTGGTTAGGAGGTGAGAGCCAGACCCCAAAGTGGGTTTGATTCTGGGAACATTAGTTCAGTCTCTCCTCTTCCCCATCCACAAAAAATTTACATGGAAATTCTGATGATCCCCA